GTTATGGGATACTGGGGATAGGATGAGGGTTATGGGGTGCAGGGGACAGGATGATGAGTGCAGGGTGCTGTGCACAGGATGAGGGTTATGGGGTGTAGGGTACAGGGTGAGTGCAGGGTGCCAGATGAAGGTGACAAGGGGCAGGATCGGTGCTGAGTGCCGGGTGCAGGATTAGGGTCCCTGGGTGCGGGGTCGGTGCGGGATCGGTGCGGGATCGGTGCCGGTGCGGGGCGCACGTGTCGCACTGCGGGCTCGCAGCGCCACCGCGTGGAACGGGGAACGGGAATGGGATGGGGATGGGGAATGGGATGGGAGCGGGGATGGGAATGGGGATGGGGAATGGGAATAGGAGCAGGGATGGGGATGGGGTTGGGAATGGGGCACACTGACAGGATGGGGCTGTCCAGCCAGGGATGCAGGGAGGGGCAGCACGGGTGGACAGGGGGCACAGCCTGGCCCCGCGGCTGCCGCAGGACAGGGAGCCCCTGCCAGRGCTACTGGCCCCTGCTCTGTTCCCCCAGCACTGCCTGTGCCCCGCCGAGGAGCTCACCTCACCCCACGAGACCCTGGGCAAGGTCTGCACTCCACACTGTGCACCCCACATCGTGCACCACCCTTTACTCACCCCCACCACGGCCCTCGGGGTGTCCCAGGCTGGCAACGGGGTCCAGGGCTCCACCTTCCCATGGMCCGAGGTGATGCCACCCCAGCCAGCGATGGTGCCACCCCAGACAGCAATGGTGCCACCCCAGCCATCCCTGATGCTGTGTCCCCAGCCAGCTGTGCCCCCAGCCCGCTATCGGGTGTGTTTCAAGCACCCCCTCCCTCTGCCTCCCAGGCACACCCACATCAGGAAAGGCTCCAAAAGGACAAACCCACCGTGTTTATTCCAAATGAGAGTTTATTAATGGGGCAAAGTGCTGTGGCCAGGCCAGCACAGCCTGCAGGAAACCTGCCCTGTGCCCCAGAGGGGACAGAGACCTGTCCTTCCCTCGGGACAGCCACCATGGGGCTGGCCAGGCAGAGGGATCTCTGCCTCCAGCCACAGTGCCCAGGGTTTGTTTTCCTCCAGGCTGGGCACGCAGCCGGGTCCTGGGTCAGACCCCAGAGACCCCAAAAGGCACCGCGGTCCCAGGGCACCGAGAGCTGGTGAGAGCCAAACCCCGCCAAGGCAAGGGGGTGTCTGGGGGGAAAGGGGGTCTGGAGGCACCGCCAAAGGCACGACACGGACACGGAGACAGGAGAGCATCAAAAACACCCTCGGGGCTCCTCAGCCCTTAATGGACACCGAGACCAGGAGAGCRTCAAAAACACCCTCAGGTCTCCTCAGCCCTTCATTTGCTCCGTTTGGCACTTCATCCCTTCCAAATTAAAACAGAAGAGCAGAAAGAAGGCACAACCCAGCACAGCAGCCCCTACACGAGGCTGAGGCAGAGCTGGGGCTGTCCCCAGCCTCGAGGGACAGAGCCACGGTGGCAACAGTGCGTCCAGGGCCACCTCAGCTGAAGTCGCGGTCCGGCAGCACCAGCGGGGCCACCAAGGTCCAGAGGTAGAGCAGGAGGCCGGCCCAGCTGGAGCTGATCTTCACCCACACGGCCGTCCAGGGGCTCCTCAGCACCGCCAGGCTCTCGTCCGGCCTGCAATGGCAAACGGGAGGGGTGACCCATGGCTGTGACACCATGCCGGTGTCCCGGGAGGGACGGGGCCACCCAGGGAACTGAGTTTAGAGCTGCAGCCTCAGGGGCTCGGTCCGTGTGCCACTCACCCCAGGGGCTCCAGCAGAGGATGCTGTGAGCCCGGGCATAACCCCCAAGGTAATTAACCCCGAAGGTAATTAACGCTGATTAGAGAGCTCATCCAGCGCTCCGCTGTGCCCGGGAGCAGCCGGGGCCGGTGCCAGCCCCAGCCCGGGGTGCCGTGGCAGCTGTGCCCACCTGTACCAGTTGGTGAGGGTCATCATGATGTAGAGCGCGGCCAGCAGCAGGCACAGGTGGAAGAAGCTGTAGCTGTAGGCGACGCCGTCCTGCTCGTTGTCATAAGCACGGTGCACGGCTCCCTCCTCCTCCTCCTCGGCCGCCCCGGCCCCGCTGCCGGCCCCGCTCTCCTCCGTCAGCATCAGTTTGTTCACCTGCGGGTGGTCCGAGGAGCGCAGGCTGCGGGCAGAGGGAC